AGGGTCTCACACACACACACACACACACACACACACATATATATATATATGTAGCTACTATGTTTTGCCTTAACATTATAGTATAGTAAGTGAGAACAGAGCATGCAGAGATGCGATTTTTAAACCAATATTAATAGTTTACTTACACAAGTTAGCACAGATTGCTTTCAGACCAATTCCGAACCATATCATAGTTTTTACCCCAGACCACCTTTTTAACCAGTCTCTGGTGCGCTACTGCACATCTGAGTTTGGAAAACTGCTCTCACACCAAACCACACAAACTCAACTGTGATGTAAAATGTGCTTGGGCCCACACCAAAAGCAAGCGCCCTAAAAACAAATAATATTTAATGAAACCATGACATATAGCTGTATATGAACACCAAAGGCAGATGTGGTTGGTTCTAACCTCATGCTGTGCTGGACAGAACCCTTGTGAAGGAAGCAGGTGGTCTGGCGTGTATACATGTGTTTGTGTGTTAGTAGTTTGAATTTCCCATTGCTCTGCTGGCTCAGGTAGCCTATGTAATGATTTCTCTGCTTCTGCAACAAGACCTGAGGGACATGTTCTGCAGCTTTTAAACACACAGCAAACACTACAGAAATGGCTCAGTGACGGCTCTAAAAACCTTTATTTACTGTATAATAGTCTGTTACACATTCCCAGCCACTGACCGGTGGTCACTTTCAATCCACAAGAGTGATAAATGTGAATAGATTTGGCTTACTGTTTGCAATGTGAGGACATGAGCATGAGATCTTGCTGTAAGTTTCCTCCAAAACTACTTAACAAGTTAACTAATTAAAGCTGATTATTACATGATAGAACGTCGGCTGAAAGAGGGCAGGAATGTGTAACTACATACTTTAAAAATCCACTAAAATGCGGGTTATCCAAACAATTAGTCAACTATTCACTCCTTTTTTTTGTTTGATTACAAGCATAACAAAAAACTTTAGAATGCAGAGCTCTCAAGTTAATAAAAAAAAAAGACATCTTAAAACATAATGTTAATGGCAAAAACACAACAAGCTTAGACAACTGCCAAAAACAGAATGCATCCAAGAATAGATGCTGTACATGTGGAAGAATTGACAATAAAGCAGACTTGACTTGACTTGACTTGAATGCTCAAGTTTTCAATAGGGAAACTGACAGATATTTAACAAATAAATAGATTAAATAGCAATAAACTTTCATGGCAACAAATCTATAATGGTCCTCATAAACAAATGCTATATGCATAATAACAGGGTCATTGCCCGAAATAAGGCAGTTTTAAATCTGACAGTAATTGTCTTTAAGTTTATTACTGAAGCGCTGAATTTGTTACACCAGTAGTGCTTTGATGGCTGGCTGTGTTTTAAAAAGGATGAATTTAGGAACACAGCTTCTCAGAAAGAGTTTTCAGTGCTGACAGTCTAACACTAAAGTAAAACATGCCATCAGCACACTAAAAACCTCTCTGAGAAGTTTTGCCTGAAAATTCATCCCTTTTAAAGCAATGTCACTTAAAATTTTAAAGATAATACTATGTTATATGTACATGTTAACACAGATAAACTACCTCAGTAATCCACTAGCCAGCTGTAGTCCAATGAAGGGATGCTGGAAGATCCTTCTCCAAAGTTTTCCCAAGCCCTCTACAACAACTGATATTAGAACAGAAAACACAAAAACGGATATTGCTTAAATGAAAAGGGATATAAGTCTGGCATAGATGTTGTTCAAAAGCATAAATGCTGGTTATTCAGCACAGTCCTTCAGATGAAGAACCTTATACCTTGTTGACCAAGTACAGGCCCTGTAGAGACATTAGCAATGCTGGGAGGAATAATAAAAAAAAATGTCCCATTTACTAAGAGTCTCAAAACTCTTGAACATCTTTCAAATATGTCCTAAATTTACACACTTTGACAAATCTTCCTCCTAAATGCTATTTTAATCAACCTGGTACCTCTACACAAGACATTGTTTCTCTGAGGACTAATAAACACCTGTTCGAGAAAGCAATTTTAGCCAGGCATTGTTATTTTTGTGAGCAATATCAACCAGATGGTCCATGAAATGTCTGGATGTGACTATAGCAGGCTTAATAAAATATCTTGAAATCCCTAACTGTACACGTCTTGATTGCAGTCTTAAGGTTGCAAAACAGCTAAATAATTTCTAAGCAATCGAAGAGAGCAAAGTGAAACACGACAATATGTCGTTGTCAAATCAGTTTCCGGCGGTCGTTCGACTGACCTATAAAAGGCCTGTCATCATTATCCTCCAATACAACCTCTACTAATACAGACAGTCAGTTAAACCTCAAAGTAAGACTTTTAGGCAATTTTGTCTTTTTTCTGTCTCTGGTCTGTCAGTGTGTGTAAGGAACAGGCTGGAAAACCTTCCAGGAGCGTGAGTTAATTATCTATTCTCTCCTGTCTGCCTGCTATGTACAGACCATTCTCCTACTGCTCATTAATGAAGCGTCCAATCAAATGCATCCAGCACTGCAGAGCAGCACCATTTAAAATCACAGGTCTAGACAACGGGCCGTTTTGACACACTCGCCATGACAACGAAGATAAGGGACTCTTTTTTGGGGTGGGGCCAATTACTTTATTCATTTATGCCAGTGCCAAAAGCACAGTATGCGTTCCACAATATTTTCATTCTTCTCTTAATACTTACCTACAACAACTTACGGTGATCTACAGTCTCATCTAAGAAGTTTCGCCGTCTCCTTTGAAAGAAAATTTGAAGGTTTCTTCATACAGTGCCACAAAATCATTCCTAGTTGTTTGGGATTTTCTATAACCTTATGCATAATCATTAGAAATGTAATAACAGAGAGGGTAAAACAAAAACTCTTGTTTTGAAATTTAAGCTACAGTGTGTGGGATCAGCCGTCATATCCTAGCTGATAAACTAGCGCTAATGATAGAGTGTGTTTGAATACAATGTGCATTGGGATGAAGCGTGGGCTTCATCCGAACAGATTCTGCGAGTCCATAGCGAGTCACTCGCACAAGCTACAGTATTCATCTCCAGCCAAATTTGAGACTAAATCAGCTGACTGAACTAACTTTATGCCCTGAGCACATTGCTGCACATCAGGGGGAAAAGGTTCACGAGTGGAGATGAAAATAGCACTATGTGAACAAACAGAAGAGCTGCTACTTTTGTACTTTATGTAGGAGATATACAAACCAAGTGCTTAGAGAAGCTGTGAATCAGATCAACATGTCTGTATGCTTTTCAGCATCTGGTTCATCAGACTCAACAGTTCGCACAGGGTGAAACCATAATGCATTATCCATATTAGCATATATGGCAGCAGCTGGTCTATACTGTAACATACTAATGGTTTTTTCCACAGGTGACAAACAAAGATATTTTCCACAATGTCTTGTATGTTTTTGACTACACAAAGAAACTGAAAGGGGTCCCATGTTGTTTTGGACCCCATTGACTTTTATTGGATGAGCAAAAATAGTCAAAACATTGTTCTTTGTATTATTCAGAAGAAATGCATATCTTTGTTTATCTACTGTATGAAAACAACTAAAGTGGTTCTCAAGTGGTTTTGCTTCAGGACTCATGTTGGAGAATTTATGTTGGCCATCAAGTGATGACACAACACATTGTTTAACATACAAACAGTGCAACAATATGCAAAATTATTAACACTGCACAGACTGAGCAGGAATAGAATTACATGTTTTAATTGCATTTATTGTTCTTCCACACTGTTTACAACCCTATCACAAAAGACCAGCAACCCATTTTTGAGTTGTGACCCATCAGTTGAGAACCACAGTACCAGACAATCTGTTAACAACAAAATTGGCAATATCCACTAGGATAAAATAGAAGGTATTGACTGACGCAATCCAAAAAACATGCAAAACAAAACCTTCCAGGAAACTTGATCCACCAAACACAGTTCCAAACAAGACCTCCAGTGCTGAGAGCTGCTGTCTTTTGCCACCCAGTGAAATCAACATTTATAAGAGTGGTAATGAGCATTTTCCTTCCCATGTGACAGCGCTAAAGCAACGCTAATTACATTAGCATGAGCTATGAAATATGAGCTAGCTGACACGCAGTTCCCTCAGAGGATGATGAAGGAGCAGGCCGTTTTTTTAATAAACACGGTGCTGGTGAAATATCATCTCCTAACTGCCTTTGTATCGAGCCGCATGCACTTCTTCTGCCAAGATCCACCACTGACTCCCTAGGAATTTATGTACAAATAACTACTTTTTAATAGCCCTGTAATATGATTTCCTGCCAAAGAAATATTCAAATAGCTTTCAAAACCAGTACAGTATATTATCAGCCCCAAGCTAAACTAGATGTGGAAGGGTGAAAAAAAGAGAGATTTTTTTCTCTCTGTAATTATTATACCATTGTCATCTGTGGGAGAGGAAGAAAGACATTGTAATACTGCACCATGTTTCACTAGGGAGCAAACGGCATTGTTTTCTAAGAATCAGCTACAAAAACACAAACAGTAATTGTCACATTTAATTACCGTAGTCATTTACTTTGCCCCATCACATTTATCACACATTTTCCTCATTGGATTACAAAATAATGTCTCTTTCATTAAGGACGATTGGAAATGAAAGCAAGGCTGTTTTTTTGTATGTGTACATTTTAAATTGCTTACTAAATGCAAATGGGTGTGTGAACTCTGCAGCATAAAGCACACATGTGGTTATTATATTTTCTGTCTTTGTGACCCCAACATTCTTTTATGTGGCCTTAATGAAGCAACTGCAGACCACCGTGACATTCGCTTGAGTGTCACTGAAAGAATTTCACTACCTCTCATGTGACCATTATGGTACCTTGGACTGCAGAACTGAATTAATTGCCTTGGCACTGTGGCTCACTTTCCATTGTTGTGCTTTCCATTAAGACAAGGGAGCAGTTGCAAAATCCCACAGTGGAATGCATATGTGTGTGCCAGCAAAAGTCTGAATGTTTGGGTAGAATACATTGCTGAAATGCAGAAAACAAGAGAAAAATTAACTGAATGTGTGGAGAACAATATAATTAAAAAGATGTCTGTTTGATTCAGAGACAAACAACAAAGTAGAACAAAAACTCTACAAGACCACATTCATAGCTCACGAGAATTGCGGTGGAAATTGTCAGTGGCATCTGAAATGGGGAAATTATTACTAGACCTCTACAGTCATAAATAAATAAATAAATCTTTTCGAAGTATTTCAATATACACTACTATCCAAAAGGTTTGTGGTCTGTAATTTTTTTATGTTTTCTAAAGTGCTCACCAAGGCTGCATTTTTGGGATTAATGATACATTTTTACAATTTAAAAATAATCATTGTCTATTTTGAATTAAAACTGAATTTTCAACAGCCATACAGTCTTCAGTGTCACAGAATCCTTCAGAAATTATTCTAATATGCTGATTTGGTGCTTAAGAAACATTTCTTATTATCAGTGTTGTGCTGCTTAATATTTCTGTGGAAACTATGTTCAAAATAGATTTTCATTTGAAATAGATTTCTTGGTAACAGTGTAAAAAACTCTTTACTGTCACTTTTGATCAATTTAATGCATCCGTGTTGAATAAAAGAAAGTATTTTTCAAATTTGAGATATACTTCATTATAACCTTCAAAATATATTACAGAATTATTTTCAGTGGGCAAGAAAAGACATTTCCAATATATTACTGGATAAGTAAATATTAAATAAATATATAAGCAACAAATTACATTTTTTAATTTACTTTGAAATATATATAAATTTACAGTATATATATTTCTTTATTTAGCCATATAGGACATTAGTAATCTAGACATCAACACTGCAGTTCAAGTGTTTTATTAGTTTAATTAAGAGCAACTCAGCACAGCTGAAATCTGACAGGCTGTCTCTCCTCTCACAGAACGCAGTGTGTGTGTGTGTGTGTGTGTGTGTGTGTGTGTGTGTGTGTGTGTGTGTGTGTGATTGTACGGTAATGCTTTCTGGAGATGAGACTCTTCACAGCAGACCTCCAGGAACCCAAAGAGGGCTGGATAACCCAGCGGCCTCGCCCAGGCCATGCGAGCCAATCAGACCTGTGGGCTCGAATCTCCACATACACCCCCTCCGCTCGAATGGAAAAGAGTCCCAAGCTGTTCTGTCAAGCATCTGTGTATGTGACAATCTGAGAGCATGTGTGAGTAAAATAAGACCAGTGTGATTCATAAAGTGCAAATGCCTTTGTTTTCAACAACAACAACAACAACAAAAATTAAATATGCATGCTGTATTAGACAGAAAACATGAACATGTGTGCACTCTTATGTCCTTGGCACCTCTCTGAGCGTGTGTGTAGCGCATCAGGAGTGACTCTGACAAGCTGATAATGGGGGCTTTTTGGGGGCTGGTGCTGTGTGATGCCTCTACACACTGAACTTATCTGGCTCTCTCTGGGGAAGTGGACAGAGAGAGAAAGAGAGAGGGAAAAAAAGAGATTCTCAACTGACGCTTGCGCCCTTATCGCTCTGACAGCCGCCGTTTACAGGAGAGTGGAGTGCCAGTCAGATCATTTACAGGAACAGATTAATACTGCCCAATGTGTCTCTCTCTCTCTCTCTCTCTCTCTCTCTCTCTCACACCTGTTCTGTCGTT